TACCGCAATCATCCAATCTGATTTGCTGTGACTTCAGGCCGTATAAGAATTCATGTAAATTTTCTCATCGTACAATGACTTCTGCGAGGGCACCGCTGGTGGTTCAATAATGTTCTGCGAGTCCCCCAGACCAACAAACTGTGATGTACTGTGTGTTCTGGCACCGTTCTATCAGAACCAGCCAATTAACTTTTCGAGTAGTGCTGTGTCTTGTTGATCGACCACACGGGGCCAGCCTCACTCCCCATTGTGGCATCAATGAGCCTTGGCACCCAAGACCTGTGTCTCCAGTATTTCCTTCTGTAGCCACTTTTGACAGGGTGACTGACCAGGCTGCAGGGCAAGGCACACCCCACACGGCTGCAGGTTTCGAGACTGCTCTCGCCCCACGCCTCGTCCTCCATCACAATCCTGGCCTTGTCCCAACAGTCTCTCAAATACTCACACTGCCCTCTTTTCCTGCTTCCTCAACACATCCACCTTTTGAGGACCAAATGTTTTCTTTGCCTGCCTGACCTACTATCCCACCCACCTGACAGGGCCATGATCAACCAGTCAATCCCAGTGTTATCTCACTTCTCGCAATGTTATACTGATCGGTTTAATACTCTTCATAAAAGCTTTCCAGCCCTATTTTCTTTTACCGAGTGGGTAAGGCACATGGAGGCCTGACCCTACCGATCGGCTATACATGCACCTGAAGACAGTACTACTGGAAACCCCACTTATCTCACCTTTTACTCCCTGTTTGAATTTTTTGTTTTGACGGTCTTTCAATTGGTTCCTTTAAACCATCTCAGTTAATCCATAAATGGCCTATGAGCAATTAAAATCTCCACTAAACCATGAGTCTGCCCACACCCTCACTAACTCTCTGCTTTGACTTGTGTCCACACTTGAGGCGTAAGTTCCCCTACATGTGTTCGTCAGCTGCAGGCCTGCTGGCCCGAGCAGCAGCAGCCCTGGATGTCAAGAGGGGGCCGGATGTGATAGGATAGAGTGTGGGGAGGTCCTGTCATGAGATTGGGTCGGACAGCTCTGGGCTTCCCTACCTACGGTCAGGCCCTTAAACTCTCGAGCTCAGAGATCGAGACTCCCCCGAAGGACAGAAGACTCACTTGTGTGTATGTGTTGTGTGCATGTGTGATTTCCTGAACCATGAACACTGGAAGAATCCTAACTGGGAGAAGCTGACTACAATGACGGCAATGGTGGTGAAGACCACAACTCCCGTGAACCCATGCTACTTCACCTCATCATCAGACTTCGTCTTTTGATATTTTGTTGTGAGACACCCCAGTGGCAGAAACTGCATATTGTATGTTTAAGTTGAATTGATGTCTTCCTGTAGACCTACCAATGAAATATGACTATTGAGAAATACCAAAACCTTATCGTCTCTCTGGCACCTTAGAACTGAATAAATTATCAGAATGATTTAACAGATTTGTATTTGGTTGAAAAGAGGACAGTCAGACTGAATATCATCCAGTTTTCAACTAGAAATCAACGTTGAAATCCCAACTGGTGCTCATTGAGAATATGATCACATATATTTTGAGTCAGTCTTTATTTTTATCCATAGCTGATGTGTGCAAAGCTTGTGGGGATTGAGTTTTAGAGTAAATGGGCCCAGTGAAAGGCTGGCCAGCAGTAGGGATAAGGTGACGGTGGTGCAGATCAAAGGTAGGTGGGCAGAGAGGAGGGTAAATGTGCTGATGTGCTGCGGATGCTGTGCTGGACCTGATTATAGCCTCTTCAGCAGCACTCGCCATTCAGCAGGACTCCACTCTCAGCAATGCTGTGGATCTACGCACTGTAAGGATTTGGATGCCTTGTGGTCTGCTGACTGTGTATGTGTGTATTAAAGATATATGGGCACCTTTGTATGGAGTAACCTGCACAGTGCAAGAATTTAGCCCCAGCAGCAACAAAGTGTAAAGATAGTGATGTTAGTTTGTTCATTGCTTTGGTCCAGAGCAAGTAGAATAACAACTAAAAGCCATGAAATTTGTATATGGCCCCATGAATCCCAGCAGTTTTTCTAAACTGTCGGAAATCAGTTGATTAATTACAGGGGCATTGTTCTTCTAATGCAGATTCACTAATCCTGGCTGTTTTTAGATTAAAATGATCCTGTTAAGGGTCCAGTGTGTAGCATTTAGGAATATGTATTGGCAGAAATGGAATATAATATTCATAGGTATGTTTTAATTTCTCTTTCTGTTGACAATTCTGGTCTCTAACTTACAGATTTAAAGGTTATATGTATGAAATTTACTTGCCACTGGATGTTGCACTCGAGCACCAGCATCAAAACAATGGGCGAGACTATATTGTCAAAACCAGTAATTTTACCTCGCAGATAATTGTAATACACACTTCAAACTGGACAGAAACGCTTCGGTCAAACTAAACCCTTAATCCGAGTTAAATTAGAAAATAGCCACAAAACAGGACAATGTGGCTGCCATGTAATGTTAGCCAATCCTTGGGGACAAATACACCAACAAAGTACAACTACTAAAAGTTCTTCTTTTTGCCACTGACATGCAAAAAAGTGTCAATAACAAAACTTTTGCAAATAGAATGAAACACCAAACAGAATAAAAAACACATATTCCACTGTATGTGTAATGTGGGTAATGTAGATATAAAATCTGTGGTGTGCACATAACAGCCATTGCCAAGTGTGCATGAAAGTAGGGACATGTCTTTAGGTAGCTTAGTACACCTCGGATAACTATCTTGAAACATTTTTTATTAACTCTCTGAAGGTTGCTTCTGTGTTGCAGTAGATTTCTAAATGCCGGGGTTCAATACATCATTGATGTAGTACTCACATTAAGATGCATGAGTGGCTGGACCGGCTATTTCAACAAACCACAGAGAGGATGCAATAGCAGCACAGACAGTGTGACACTATGACTCCACTGTATCTTAATATAGATGATAGTGTATAAAGTCTCATATATGTAACCTTTTAGAGAATTTTTTCTCCTTGTTTTATTTTAAATTTTGCCCAGCTAAAAACAGAAAAACACTGAGATTTGTGTTCAGTGAATATCACAAGTTTGTATTAGTGGTCATATGAATCAGGAAGAGCTTCTTCGCTCGAACAATTAAACAGGGTCAAAGTGTGCAAGAAGGAAAAAAATATTGATCTCTAGAACAATTTCTTATCTAAAAGATATCTAAGTGGAAAAGTGTGTTAAACAAAGCACAGGGTTTATATACATATATTTATATAAGAAATGTATATAACAAATATTTTTGGCAGAAAAAACAATTTTAAAATATTTCACAGACTACACAAAATTCAATGAATGCAGTATTATCGACACAGTGTCCTCTTCTAAGGGGTAGTTGAGACTTTTAAATATGTATAGGTCCTTTGTTCCTGCTACATTGTATATAAAAAGATTACAATAAAACACAAATTAATTTAAATAAACACAGACACTTGAAGACATTTTTTTTTTCATACACATATTCTCAGCCATTTGTATCCAGTCAGAATGAATCTTCCACAGTGTGACACAGTTCGTTTGGTGAAGGAAGCAGAGTGGAAAAAAGTCTAAAAAGCTGTACAAAAGCTACAGAGTGGGCCACAAAGCACTGTGTAGCCCTGGAGGAGCAAGTTCTCAGCAAATATTCTGATGTGGTACAGTATAGATGTTAATGTGACAACCTCCTAGCCCCACAGACTAGACCAGACTACGTCCTGCAAACTCATTGTTTTTGCCCAGAGATAATTGTTTGCTGTGAATTGACTGAGGAGCAATCAGATAACAGTGGGGAGGGTTTGGTTGATGTTTAGTGTTCTGATGATGACACCCAACAGTGCTGTATTGTCAGACTGAGTGGTGCTGACTCACTGCTTCTCAATTACCTACTGCCTCTTGAATATAGAAGTTAATTAATGATGAAACTGTCAAGAGAGCCTAAAACTAATTTAAGTGCAATAAAATATTAGCAGAGAAACAAAGATTCATAAGCGTTTTGGCATGGTAAAATACAATTTGAGACCTTTTCTTGTTATTATGACTTCCATCAGTGTTACATCTTATAATTATGAGAAAATTGTCACAGATTTATGAGAAAAGGATTCTCAAATAATTACTGTTATTGCTGTTGATTATGGACTGTGTTAAAGAAAATTACACTTTTTTTTATTATGAAGCACGATGTTAACTTCATAACCAAGCTTGACACTTCATTTACTTTGAAGTCAAGGGAGTCCTAACTGATAGTAACGATTCCAGCAAACTAAGATCCATGCAATATATCACTTTTTGAGGGTTCCAGCACCGTAGCAAAGATTTACAGGGTGGAGCAGTTGTCAAGGAAGTCCTAAAAGTGCTCAAGATAAAGGAAAGTGTGAACATCACAGTTAAATGTTGCATTATGTTATTGTTTCCTTTAACAACAATGAGCCTTTTATATCTACAGACACCATGGGTAGCCTTCCATGGAGTCCACCATGTTGAACCATGTTTCTACAGTAGCCCAGAACAGACATACCAACCACTTACTGTAGATGGCGATTATCGCATGTTTTGCTGCCATCGTAGTTTATACTGTTTGTGGTTGGAAGGGGAGGGTCAAGCGATAGAGTTGCCATCTGCAAGCACACCACTAGATGCCACTAAAGCCTGAACACTGGACCTTTAAGTACATATTTAAAACATAACTTGCGTAACGTACCTGACATAATTTAAGTACTTCAGGAATAGTTCACTTTTCACCAACAGCTGTCTCCTGGGTTAAAGTTTTGTGTTAGTTTGAGCCATCCATCCAACCTACCATCTCCATAAGTGGACTTTCTGGCTCTAAATACTAGAGAAATAACACAAAAGGGATACCTCTAGTATCATATCTGAGGGAGAGGGCCACTGACCACTGGTTTTGGTGTATGCACCTTACAAATTGGGAAACAGCAAATAGACTTGGAACCATCTTGGAACATAATGTTTTGCTTTTCTCCATCATAAAGCGGCGTATGCTTTAGGGCTGGGCTACCTTGTGATTGACAGGTCACTCTCAGTGAGTCTGTCCAGTGCAATGCACGAAACTCAGATCAAACTGTCAAATTTTAGTGTACTGTTTAGCTTGAATACGAGATTGTGTGTAACCAGGCGAGCCGCCTTTGTTTCCTGCTACGGTTGAGTCAAAACTGCGCAGCCAATGAGAGCAGATCAACTCGCAATACGTCATGTCCACTGGCTCACACTGACTCTGTCATGACTAAGAAGCTTGCTACAGCTGTGATAAATCACTACGAGTGACACCTTTTACATTACACATAGTCATTTGATCCATTATAGGGTTGAGTAAGTACGAGTATCCAGTACAGATAATGTACTTTTTACGAGCATCATCGGGGTAAAATGTGTCAATATCCATACTGTAAATAGTTCTCTTATTATCGCTTAGAAAATATTTTTCTAATAAATATAGCAACTTCTGATCAACCCATATCAATTTCAGGCTTACTTCCAGTTTAAGCACCACCTATATTCAGTTTAAGCGCCACACATTCCATATAGGTGTACAAATGTAGTTGGTAGAACAGAACAGAGATAATGATGTACTTGCTCATCCTTAATTGTCAATATAAAAATAATGATTAGTGCAGCTTTAAACACTGATCCTTTTGTAGTTTTGTTTTCTTATATAACCACATCCTGTCATAATTATAAAATTTGGAAGCCATGATTAGGAGGAAATGTCTTTTCTCTTTTTTCTTTTGAATGCAGTGAGAATGGAATATGTTTCCAAAAATTTGTGACTAGCACTGAGGTTTCCTTTTCTCTCAGTAAGGGCTGCTGGAACTTAAAGTATCCTGTTAACCTGGTAAAGATGTCTGGCTTACTTCTGTAATATAAGCTCTTAAGTGTATTCTAACCCAGTTACGATGTTTACCTACATCAATCCAAAACTGTAGTCAGCAACAGAGAAGGGAATTCTCGATACACATCAACAGCTTC